GTTTCAGTCTTTTTTATGTGTCATTGTTCATTATTTCTTTGGGTAATATCAATCTAGGTGGAATCTTAGTTTTTATTTATTTTAAAGAATAAGGTTTCTTTCTTAAACCGTAGGACTAGTTCATCTGTGCTGAAGAAAGTAGTGAATGTTTTTTAGAAGTGTTTTGGGGCTGTGTGACTAAAAGTATGTGCTTTTGGTATAGAACCAAGTAGCATTTGACATATGTGCTGAATTTTTTCCTACTTGTACAGTTCTAGTGAAGAAAACATTTGGTGTATGTAAATAACCTTTTTTTGTCAAAGTTGGTAATACAAAGTTGTAGAGAAATTATATACCTTTCTTGTCCTAAAATTTCATTATTTTATCCTATCATGTTTGGGAGATATGATTTTTCAAAATGCACTGCCAAGTTTTGATGGTGTACTGTGCAGTTCTGGACTTTTGTCTTTTTCGACCATGTTAACTTCAAAACTAGCACATGTTCATAACTAGAAAGTTGTAACGTTTTTCTTAAGCTTTCCAAATTACTAAAGAATTATATTTTTGGTTGTCTATAACTGTAGATATGAATTTCTGAAGTTTCGTGTCAGGTTTTGTAAATTCCAATGGTCCATGGGTAAACGGAGTACTTGTAACAAATCGACCTTGTCTAGCTATATTTTTGTCCTATTTCTAAGTATTTCTTTTTAGTGATCACACGTAGCTTTTATTTTCTAGTTAAATTGTGCACTGCTTGCTAGTGAATTGTTTTTAGACAATTTTTACTCGTATTGTGATTTGCATGTCTCTGTTGTAACTTTGTTATTATTTTTGCATGCAGACTGCCTACTTTGATTACTTGGGTTCAGAGATGAATATTGTTCCACAGACAATACCTCATATTGATGTTTGGACTGATGATTTTGTTGATAAGTATATGTTACATTACCCATATTTTAAAAAGATGGAGGTAATGTTTATAATGCAAATGTTGACTTTCTAGTTTCCTTTTCCTCTCTTTGTGAGTAATTTCTGGATTGTAGTTTAATTATGTGTTGTTCATCTTGTAGATTAAAAGACTGTATTGTTTTTGGAACTGTGCTAATATTTCCTTATATTGAACTTGGCTTATTAAATTATATACATGTAACTTGTATATTGTAGTTACTATGCTGTAGTTTCTGTAATAAGTTGTAAATTTTTGTTAAACTTTTTATGTCTACCATTGTGCACATAACTTGTAGATATTAACTTTATGTCTAACTTTTTATATCTAACTTTCTGCTCATGTCTAACTTTATGCACATAACTTTTATCTCTAACTTTCTGCATATAACTTGTAGCTATTAATGTTTATGTCTAAATTTTTAGCACATAAGTTGTTTGATTTATTATATTATATTTGTACATAACTTGCAGTTATTAACTTACATGTTGAACTTTGTTTTACTAAATTATGTGCTTAAGTTTTGTTAGCAACTTATATGTCTAACTTAATGTTTTCAAATTGATACTTAATTAGGCATTGTGGTAATGGCTTTTCGATATGTTTTTGTTAAATTTTATATGCATATTTGTCAGGTTCAACTTCAAGATGCCGAACTTGTTTCAACTGCTATTTTTCATCACTTCTCAGAAAGATGCATTGGATACGGTCTAGACAATGCTGACCTTGTAAGTTTTGTTAATTAAATTCATTCCATATTATCTATATGTGTGGCTTTGTGATATACATGTCCTTTTCTATTTAAAAATGAGGAGAAATGTTATGTTTTATGAATGGATTTTGTCATATTTATTCCATATTAGAATTCATAAAATTTGCTTGTTTTTGTCTAAAGGTTTTTGTCTCAGCTTGCAAGAATAGATATTAGTATGTTGTGATTGCAAACTTTAGGGAAAAAAGATTTGAAGTCATCTGTCCTTTTAAGGACTTCAATATTGTCAAAGAAGATGCTCTTGTAATTGTCAGTAACTTTCGCATAGTGTTCAAGTGTTCATATTTAGTATCGAGAAGAGTTGATGTTTATAGGATGGGCATTGCTTTTGCTAGTGTGTCCAATTCAAGTAACCAGTACGTTTCTTTTGACTTCTTCACCGATTTTTGCAAAATGAGTATCATTTGTTCAACCTTTAAAAAATTAACATTTCAAACAAAAAAATCATTATTCATTTTTTTGCAGAAATGACAGTGGAGTATTTGTTCTTGAATTACTTAAATCTTATGACGGACAGACTAACCTTTATTTTAAAGAGGTATTACTTTGTGCTAAATGTATTAAAACTAGTCATTATACTCTTAATTTTTTAAATTGCTCAAGTTATATTTAAAACTGTGATCATTTGATTAGGACATTGCTAAGCAACATGTAAGATTTCATATTTGTACCTATGATTTTTGTGTTTGATGAAATCCTTATCTTTGCTCCTTGTTAAACTTGTCATCAGGGTATAAACCTTTCAAATTCCGCATCAACAAGGTATAACAAGTATGATTTTTCTACTTAACTTATTACATTCATTGATATTGAAATAGTTTCTTTTTTATGAGATTTTTTCAATCATTTGTGCTTGTTAATTTGCTCTATACATTTGTTCTATATAGTTATTTTTTTGTGGTGCTATGTTAAATAACAGAGTTATTTATTTGTTTTTGTTGTTTTCATGAGTATGTTATTTAACTTAGTTGATTAACTTATGCTACAGAGTTAAGTTTCTAACTTGTGTTTTCATGTGTATGCTATATAACTATTTTGATTTACTTTATTGTAGAGAGTTATGTACCTAATTTGTGTTTTCATATGTATGGTACCTAATTTATGTGATTAACTTACTGTAGAGAGTTATGTATCTTATACTTGTGTTTTCGTGCCTATGTTATATAGTCATCTTACTTTCCCTGCTAACTTATGTTTTTCCTTGTTGTGAACTTTGTTTTTTATTTGTTATTTTAAATATTAAATATTTTGCAGATGTTCCAATTGAAGACACAGATATGCTTAATGTCATAGCTACAGAGATGCTGAGACTATCATAGTTGCAGAAGTTATGAATGTTATTATTTATCTGGTGTTTGCAAGTTTGCATCATATTATGAAATTTGTTGTGTTTTATTGGTTATAAAAGTTACTTTTATTTTGCTCCCCCACTCTTTTTTAACCCTATTCCCATGTTCCCGAATGATTTAGTTTCTGAAAAGAAAAAAATGCTAATGAAACCTAAAGAGAATGTTATTCTCGCAGCTGTTTTAAAAATGTAAATTTTGCGCAAAAAGAAATGTTGTATAACTTAGAACTGTTAAGTTAATCCTGCAAGTTATGCTGCGTAACTCAGTTTTCTAAGTTATGCGTGCGGTTCTTAGGAAAAAAAAAAAAATACGAAAGTGAAACTATCGTCGCTCGTGCGGCTGCGCAAGAAAAGAGAGGAAAAAACGCGCGCAACGTCCGCCTGAAATCTTTGAAATATGAAAGAGAAAGAGAAAAGTATACTATTCTAAAATGGTGTCACGTGGGAATAAATGCTTTCTTATTAAGGCAACTAGTATGGTCGGAGAATTGATCGCTAGGTTCACTTTGAATGAACGTTCGCCGTTTAGTGGCATCGCATGAATCCATGCCTAGATCCATCGTCCATGTCTCGCGAAGTTGTGCCGGCTTGCCCACGGGGAGCTCATTCTTGGGGCCAGGAAGCTTGGGCTTGATGATATGGAGCTCAAGTTAGGTAGCGGGGAGTTCGATTGTGGTTATTCCACACTAGCTACGTCAAGTACTAGGTCAGAGACTCACAATTGCTGATCCTCGAGCTTGATCCGGTGTCTCATCGCCGGATTCAACGAATCCGCGGTGGATGTTCACCATCTGGCTCACTTCTCAGTTCTCACATGTTCAGAGAATGAAAAGCCTGTTCGCTGCGGTTTCAAGCCGCAGCCGCTGCCAACAGGCCCGAAATACATGAGAAAGTCAAGAACATTGAAAGTTACATAATTCGAAACAGCACAAAACCGGATCACAGCTAAGTCTTCAAACCGAGTTTGCGAGCTGAAAGTTCACATTTAGTTGTTTGTTCAGGAAAAGTGGATGATTGAGTTCCAGAGGAAAGGAATCCTATATGCGTGTTTGGAACGAAGGAACTCGGACAAACCTTTCCGGAGGAACGCGCAATGGTTGGTTGTACTTTTGGAGGAATGGAAAAATGAGCTCAGAACCAAGGGAAATTTTCAAACGGTGCTCGCGGCCACGCTTAGCGCACAAGCCAATCTATATTTTATTTATGCGTTACTTTGATTCCTCTGTTTTTCATTCCTGCATTGCAAACACCTCTCTCGATTGTTTCCTGTATTTTTCTGTTCCTCTGTTTTGCCATTTCACTCCTACCTATTTCCTGTACTTTTTTCCTTTCATCTGTTTTTCGTTCCTTTGTTCCAAACAGCCCTCACAGCCCTCAGAAGGTTTTTACACCTGCAACCACGGAGTTCCCAAAAAGTATTGATTACAATGAAGCGACTTTCATACCCTTCAAGATGAGCTTTCTACGAATTGAGTGAAAGAAAATTAGACAAGTTTCAGGCAATTTTTGAAAGGTGAAAAAAATACACGAGCCATGGAACATAATTTTTTCAGAAATTTTGCCATGAAATAAAGCGACTACTTGCCCTTGCACAACTCCAAGGCCACAACATGTCGGATGGCTAGTCCTCAAGAAGCTGGGGGTTTTATTAACAAACGGGTTTCTGTCAGTAATGTTATGTGCAGTAACAAGTTGCAAAATGAGGGGAAACTATTTCATATTTTCATAGCCTGCACCATATCTTATGTGAAATCGACTATAGCTTATCACGGACAAATGACCCAGTTACATATATCAGCCGTCTGACTGCTTGTGTATCGAAAAATTGCACTCAAACTGTGCCGAAGCCCTCTGTAACAAACACAACTTAGATCATTCCCTCATGAAGATTGACAGCCCAGACAAACCTTAGCTTACCATAAAGCATCCACGACTTTCTGCATCTGGACATAAAATTAGCGAACAGGTGAAGAGAAGAAAATAACCAGTGAATACACAAGAAATCCAGCCAGAAGGATCCCTCCATAGACAAAAGCTTGGGATGACTGCTTTGGATGACTATATTCAATGCTACAGCATTTCATCCTGTCTCTCTCGTTAGCTAGAACACGTTCGACATACCTGTCAAGAGAAACAGAATGAAAACAGAGAGTTTCAAAAAGACAGCACAAAAGAGTAGTGCTTTGCAGGATGTCGGTACTGTTGTGTAAACATACTGTTGTGTAAATATAGTGCTTTGCAGGATGTCGGTACTGTTTTGATATGCATCCACCAGCCGGTGGTCATACAGTAAGGAAGACAAGTCCACGAGTTGCCCTTCAAGTTTCTACAAGGGCATCATAGATTAAGGAAAATCAGAACATATATATGCATCTTTTCATCATGAAAGTACACTTATGCAATATATGAGATATATACTTACATCCAGGTACTCTTCTAACTTCTCAACAAGATCATGGGGGAAAGGCTCCGGCAGAGTGGTTACCTTCTTATAGAATTTCTCTACCCATAACTCAGTGGTGGACTTGTTTTTATTACCTTTCACAAGTTCTCCTAATGGCGTCTTAAGATGCTCTGATGCAAAAGATTGGACAAACTGCACCAGACCAGAGAAAGTAGTTATACTTTCTGTGCAATTGAGGAAATAGGTGAATAAATGTAAGCTGAATTGCATGTAGGACCTCTGATGTGTCTCTTATTTTGCGAAGAGCAGCATCGACTTGAGCATAAATTGTAGTTCTCTACACACATTAAAACATGGGTTATATAGTGGTAGTGGATATGAAAGCACAGAAAAAACAATTTATGCCAGTGAAATATCAACAAACTAAAAAAATATGCGACGACAGTTATGACTAATGCAGTAAGCATAATACCAAGATTTCTTGGATTTGGATAATTGGATGCATTGCATAGCCAAGTTATGTTGATCCAAAAATTTGAAACTGACAAAACTCGGACACAAGCAATTGGGACATAGTTTGGCCTCATTTTTTTTTGGTCAGTTTGTACCTATGCACTGTGCAAACCATAGGAAGCATGAACAGCTTTTCTACTTTAAGCCTCACTTCGACATAGGAAGCATTGACCTCCCTCGCTCCCTGCCTACTCATTGTACATTTCATAGAAATGAAAATTTATTGCTGATAACATTACCAGTGCTACATCCTGGAGAATTTGACTGATCTGGGAGGAGTTTGAGAATGGTCCAAATGGGTGACAGCCTGCAGCCCACAGCCAGTTCACTACATGTCTTTCATGAATACGTGATGCCCTTTCATATGGTGCACTCAGACCGCCAACTGCTGACGCCAGACCAGCCAAGATGTGGCGCTGTGCGAGAGATGGAAAAGCAAACTGCCTAGTCGTTTCTGACACATAGCTGTGACAGCAAATGGATGATATAAAGAATTAAATATAGAAGCAACTTGAGCAATGCAGTACATACAAGAATTCATGGAATATCTTTGCCTGACAGAAACACAAAAAATACCTTAGAGGAATCTTTTCATTGTTATGCTCAAGCACAATAACAACATCTTTACTTGCCCAAACAAGACTTTCCTCTTCCATGAGAAGTTCAGCATCGACATCGGTCAGTGATAATACAAAACTGAAGGGTTATTAAGAAAAAGGGTCAAATTTTAGATCATTATCAGAATTAAATTTTGAGGCATGATAGATTGATTTTGTAACCATGTTCTGCTAGAGATGGAGAGATAGAGGGAGGAAGAGGCGCCTGCCCATGCAAGTAAAGCTTACACTGGGATCACTCTGGTCCCATAAGTTCTGTACAGACTTCCATGTTTCTTCTTTCCAGTTCCTCTCCTTTCTTTCTTATTTTTGGGCATGTAAGATTCCCACAAGGGCTTGTGCTTAATAGAATCTTTTACATCATCTTCTCCATCGGTCCAATGCTGTAGCCAATGCCAAAAAATCACAATAAAAAATCCATAAGACCACTCATATAAATACAAGTAGAAAAATATTTAGTATAGAGGCTCATGAAACAGATGCTAGCTTGCAGGATATATCAGACAGAACATATTATGCACCTGCTTTAGGAAGAATCTACTTGAGAGAGAAGGATTTGCAACTTCTAATAAACCAGCAGACAGCACATCAGCAGACCGCTCCATTTCCTGTACATGTCGAGAGCACATCATTGCAATGCTGCATTCAAAATTTAAGACAACAAGAAATTTAGACCGATCTTTATAATTCTCCTACTCTGCACCATCTTGAAACTGAGTTTTACTTCAAGAAACTCAGTAACACATCCATTTGATGATGGCCTTTTACATTTGGTGAGAACATGTCTGTTATTTGCACTTGATCCAATCCTTTCCCATCACAAAAGTATATAATCAGGAGATGAAGATTATGAATCATACAATTGTGCTTGTTTATCCTTAAGGCATGATTAAACAGCTATATGACAGATGGCAGGTCAGATGAATCCAAGCCTACTTTTTTTTTAACGTAAATCCAAGCCTACTTCTATGTGTGTCAAATTCTCATTTAGACATTAATATATGCAAAATGTGAAAATTGGACAGTGTAAAAAATATAAAGACTGCCAGAAGTGTCCATTTCGTTTAAGCATACAGAAAACATACAAAACCTGCAGGTATGTGCACTAGCAACGATTGCAAATTTCTCCTGCAGTTCAAACATGATCACTTGGATAAAGCCAAAATCCAACAGACCTCTTTAAGTATTGCTCCATCCAAGTAAGTTTTGGTACGGACATGAAATCGGCCATCACTCTTTGTTTCATGAAGAGAATGGCTACGTGTTGCTTTGGAAACTGCAACAGCTAACTTTTCATGCTGGTGCAGTGCATGCGAACCAGAAATTATTATTACCTCCTGACCAGGGTGGACCATCTTTTTAACCTGAAAAATGTGAACTTCTAAGAAAATTTGGAGGATGCATAATGGCATGTAATAATCCAGGTCACAAGTGGAAAGAAAATAGATTATATATACTATATGGATCCTAATCAACAAACCATATGTGGTTCTTTGCTGTACAAAACCAACCAAAACATAATTTGTCCAGGATATGTCGCGTAGACATAGGTTAAGCCATCTAATTGTACTGGTATTCTTTTTCAGCTAAGGGGCCGTTTGGAAGCGCTCCTTGGAGCAGATTCTCCATGAGAATCACTCCTCAATCAAACAGCAAAATCCCGCACAGATTCTGGTGGGGAGCAGAAAATAATCACATCTCCATTTACACTGGAAGGTAAAAACTGCTCCATTCTCACCTGCTCCCCACCTTGCTCCCAAATATGCACTAATTTGACAGACTAGCTCATAATCTGGTTAATTTTAACAAGATAGCAACTCGAGCACAGATTGTTCCTATACACTCTCCTAAAGGATAATGCATATGGCAATTAGATAGACAGAGGAAAACAATTTAACAATTTGTTGCATTTGCCACAAAACATTGTTCCTTGTAACTGGTAAGTCGTATTGATGATGAAAAACTGTTCGCATATGGATTTGAAGCAGCAAAGTTGATTGATAGTAAACTATGCTGGAATTAACACTAATTGCAAGTTGTGCTAGCAGAGCAACTGTGTTCCCTATTCAGGACTAGTTTTGATGTCCCAAATAAATAGTCTTTAGTCTTAACTAGTACACTGGCAAGGCAACCATGAACCCATGTAGTTTCAGAAACATAAAAAATCATACAAGAAAAGTCAACTAACCTCCCTTTCTATAGCTTGAACATCTATGCTATAGTTATGGCCTTCTTGAAGAATGTTGTACCTATTGTGGTTCTGTAGCACAATAATAGGTACAAGCAACCTCACTGCCATGTCAACAGTTTCGAATCTGGAATGCAAAAAAAGGGTAAATTAGAATAATTAAAAAAAAATCATGACCTCTAAAACATAGGTTGAGCTAGAATGCTAGATATCATGTATCGCATGTGGCCAACATAATCTAGAAATGCCTTGAGTTAGCATAAGTTGTAATTCATCTATAACTTGTTCATTTTTTGTCCTTATTTGCAAAGTTAGCTATCATTTGTTGTCCTTTTTTGCAAAGTTAGCGGCATTGATGGAATAAACGACAAATATAAAACGCCAATCTGTAATTCATTAGGTTAGGTGATAAGTTGTTAGACATTTAATACAATCATACAAGATAGAGTGACCTAGTTAGCCTGCACATTAACAGACAAAGATATGCATGAGGAACTAAAGACGATTGGCCATACACAGGTACCAAGGTAGCATAATATGAAAATTCTTTAGTACTTGGGACCATCACATGTTTCCAATAAAAACGCTGAAAAGTGAACAATACAAATAACCAACTGCTTGCTGTGAATACTTCATCCGATCAAGATAAAATATTCTAACAGTTTCAGTCATTCATCAAATAATGAAGAAACTTTGAATGAAGCAAGGTATTTCTACTTTCTGAAAATACCTTATATCAGGAGCTATCACATGCTCAATGGTAGTTGAAATTAAACCTCCAAGCTGCCCAATGAAAATATCTTGCGTTGAACTAGCACTTGGGGCAGCAAGTCCTCTTGGGAAGATTATTTGTGATAGCCGTGGCATTGACCTATAGCTGACACTGCCTTCTTCAGTTTCTATTTTCCCATATGTACAAGGGCCTGCTGAAAGATCTATTACAACAAATCTGCAGAGGCCAATCCAGTGGGAGTTTAGAGCACAAATAACTTAAAGCTGCTTGAGCAACTGAAGTGCATCATAAAAGAAAACAACTCCAAAGTGCAATGAATAATGGTCCGGTAGGGCAGCTCTACATAAGCATTCCTTATGGACAATGTCATACACGTGAAATTATCTATGGCATGCAAGTAAACAAATCATAAAACCCGTGTCAATTTTTTTTCCTTGTTCAAATCTCAACCTTATCCCGTATTAGTGGAAACCGTCATCGCTTCCTCCTCTCTGTGCACAGTTCTGAGTCTCTCGGTTTACCTATCCGTTATAATCGTTGGCACATGGTAACAACCAAATAACACAAAATAAATCTGAATTTCAGCTAGTTTTACAGGCAGTTAAATATGCAAAATACATGACTTTATAAAGTAATCATGGAAAACAATCATCTAAATATTATCTCCGCTACATATCTGAGTACACTGATGGGAATGACTACAAGATGGGGTGTGGATATAGCTGCAAACCGATCACGCAATTGGCAAGACTAAACTTATCACCTTGACACCTTCCCTTTAAAAGCCACAAGTTCCCATGATAATGTAAAGGGGGTGTACCCTGTGCTTATTTTGAGAGAGGATTCCCTGTGTGCCACCAAAAAAAAGTTGCTCCCCCATCTCTGCAATCAAAAGTGTGTTTCCCTCCGGTACCACAATTCAAGTTTTTTCTATCTCCAGACCACTACCGTTTGTTTTTGCTGACTTGGACTTAATTGGATGGCAAAAGACAAATTTACCGCTGTGTGCTGTAGGTTGCTAATAGATTCCATTTCCATCGGACGCCAGTCAGAGCATTCAGGTCGATGGAGCGCTCAGGTCAGGGGAGCCCATGCGTCCGAGCCGCCGGCCCCCTCAACGCCACCGCGCTGCCATCAGGCACCGCCGCTGGCACGGCTGCCCCATCAGTTCCCTCTTCTCCATCCACGCCCCGGTGTGGTCGCCCACTACTGCGATGGCTGAAGCCCCCATGCCCATCTGCGCCATCGCCCCCAGCTCCACGGAGCGCATCTCCCTGCCGATCCTGGTCAGCACCTCCTAGCCCCTGCCGCCTGCTCTTCCGGACGCAGCCAGGAGGAAGCACTCCCGGATGGGTAAATGGGAGGCCCCGATGCGGACAAGGCTGGGGCACGTGGTGGAGCTTCTCACGACCCCGTCCCTAGAGATGGCTGCTTCCGCCTAACGACGGCGTCCCCACAAGGCCACAATGCTCGCTCCGCTCACCTGTGGTCTACAGGCACGACAGTGGTGAGAGGTAGCACTAGCATCTGCTTGATTTCTGATCATCAGTGCTACAACGAGCACTACTGGCTCTAGTGTTAGGTTGGGTTTGGATGTCATTAGATTAGCTGCAGACTGCGGTTTCTTCTGAGATCTTGTTTGTTGTTTCGGTACAAAGGAGTTGTGATCAGTAAATTATGGTGGTCTTGGGGAACCAGGGTGAAGTATCAAAGGTAATTAAACTTGTTCTGCTAATGCTATTCCAAGGAGCTTTTGTGGAATTTGTGGTGAGCTTCTGGTAATGTAAGAGTACTAATTTCTAGTAGTCTTGTTGATTTGCAGTAGTTTCTTTCAATCCTGTTGCTACATATAACATAGAAAAGCAGCAGCAGTGCTTCATCAATGAGTGGCGTAGAAGGGAAACAAAATCTAGAAGGAACCTACAGCACAGAGGCAAATTGGTCTTTTCCCGTTGTAACGCCCAAGTCACCAAAAACAGATGGAAATGGTAGTTGAGGTAAAAGAAACTTAAATTGTGGTACCAGAGGAAAACACACTTTTTTTGTGGCAGAGATGGGAGAGCAATTTTTCAATGGCACACAAGGAATTCTCTCTTATTTAGACACAAGGTGGGATGTAGGGAATTGTTAGTTAGCCTTACCCTTGCTTATTTTGCAAGGAGGTTGATTAGAACCACGACCTCCAGGACAAAGTGGAGAGACTCAGCACTGTGCCAGGTTTGCCCTCCAACTTCCCATGATAATATAAAGAAAATATAATTGTTACAATATCTATGCTTATCAGAGAGAAAAGAGAAGGATTCACACTGTGCTTGGTGGAACCTGATTATAAAGATGCAAACTAGCCTTACGTCTACTAGAGATGTTAGAAGTAACAAATACACCCCGTTCTTTTCCATTTGATGTTTCGGGAATGAAAAGACGTTCCTTTTATTTGATTTCCTATAGGCTTGTAAAAATGCCAGTCAAAACATGTGCTTCTTGTTTTCTCTGCCATTTTACCTCTTTTTCTCTTTTCCCTTTATTTCTCCTAAAATCAGCCACACAGAAGGACAAAATTGCCCCTAGAACAAATTCGCGGAACCGAATCAGACGATCAATCAGTCTTTGGCTTGTCTCCCCGCCGCTCATCTGGACGATTGTTGTCTGCCGACCCTATGAACAACGGCCACCGGGCTCGGCCCCACCCAGCCTATGCGCCCCGCCGCCTGATGCTTCCCCCCGCCTAAAATCCATAGATCAGACGGTTCTGATTTCAAGATCGAGCGGCTTCAGGAACTCACCGAGGCCCATGGTTTCCCTCTCCAATGTCATCAGCGTGTGGCGCAGCCACTGGGTAGGGTCGTCACGGGAGAAAAGCAGCAGGCTCTTGTCTTACCAGAGGGCACACGTCGCGGCATTCCACAGCGTGTCCCCGGCACCGGCGGCATGCTGCCTGCTTGCTACGTCTGCTGCCTCCTAGGCCACGTGCTGCTGCCCGAACCTGAAGAGCCACAGCACCTTGTCACCTTCTAGTGGCGGGGAGACGAAGTGAACGACCAATTGATTGTTGATTCGGCTCCAGGAGAGTGAATTTGCCCCAGGAACATTTGTCCATCTGCGTGGCTAATTTTAGGAGAGATTAAGGAAAAGGAGAAAAAAAGGTAAAATGGCAGAGGAAACAAAAAGCACATGTTTTGGCTGGCATTTTTGCGAAACCCACGATTAGCATGGCAAATCTGCGAAGCCCACTGTTTTGGCTGGCAAATATGCAATTTTCTCTTTCAAGAAGATACATACCTACACCTTCCTGACATAACCCCCACCTCATTTAGTGTGTGCAACATTTTACAAGACTCAAGTCTCCTAGTTCATTAGTCACAATGGCTGGTTAAGGAGACAAACTAATTATATGAAGTAACAATAACAACTGATACAAATTAAATCTTGTGCGTTATCCTTGAAGCTGCGTAAGTATGAAAAAGGAGCCTGAGTACAAATTAATGGTGTTAAGACTTAAGAGCTATAGCGCTAATACAGCCATTTTTATTTTTGTAAAGATATGCGATTGTACCATGTAACTGTGCAATTGCTTGATGGTTCACATCTACACATCATGAATTTGAAAAGGGACACGTGTCCAAAAAAAGGAAAAAAAGTATAATTTCATGATTGTTATGAAGTGACGCAGTAAATACTTCAAAATGGTAACGCTTGTTTGTTTTCCGAGATTACTCTTTGAATCACTCCTGTACTGACCATGTGGCCACAACAGGGTTAATTTACTTCACTTCTAGTGGTGAATGAAAATGTGGCTTTTTGATAGGGAAGCAGCGGAGCTTCACTGTAACTTGTAAGTTGTAACAAAATAGTAGCAGATTAGAACAATTATCACCTTCCAGAACTTAGCCAAACTTGAGTTGCCCCACCGCCATTGTAACGGTAACGGTAAATGTATTCTGCTTCTTGTTTTTTAAGTTCTTGTTCTGTTAGTCCACCAATTGTACCATACATTAAACTATCAAGATTAACTTCTTTGTTTCGAGGATCCATTCTAACCTGCCAAGGAAAATATGTACCATGTTAGTTACAAATCTCAAAAGAATAAGAAAGGAAGATGAAGATTAAGAGCACTAGTTTTCTCCTTAGTAAAGTAAGGATTGTGGAGCTCGGATCAAAATCTTGTAAGATTCAGCTCTGGATATTTCCCAGATGTTACAGAAAGTAAGTAAGCTGAAAGGACTATCTAAATGTCCTTTAAGGAGAACAAATTAGTTTCAATGGAGGAAATTACTATAGACTTTAATCTGTAAAAGGTGAGAGTTTCGCCTCTTATTAGGATACATTTTCCCGCTGGTGGATTTTTTATTACAAATATCCAAGTTGTTATTATGTATATTTCAATAAGTTTCTCAACTTCTCATGTACTGTTTCCTATAAAGTACAGGACGATGAAACAAGATATTGCATCTTGACTCCTATATAGCCATGAAGGACTGCACTTTCTATAATCTAAAATTTGCATGCAGGCATCAGAGCACAAAGTACAGACAGGAAGCAGACAATACAATCAAGAGGGAGATGATACAGGGTTTCACCTTATCAAAATTAACAACAAATATCGCAACAGGAACAGGCCTATCCATCTCGTTTGCAGGATAACCAGGCTCCATGTCAAAAATGAATGAGTATAGCCTCTGAAATATCGATTCCACTGCAGTCGCTTCTACTTCAAATAGAGGCAATTCCCTGCCATATTCACTCTGTGAGGGACAAAATAGTTAGAGAGTGTATCATGACAATTATGAACAACTGTTAATGATCACTGTATAGGAAAATAATATATTCCTGCTTACATCTCTTGCAGTTCCTGCAGGTTGCATGGCCTCCTTCAGTGACTTCTCAAGAGAAATCAGCTCCGGTTGTCCAGCCTAAAAATTGCACTGGGTGACAATAGGATAACACAGTTGTGAAAAGCAATTCATTATTATCTGAAATGAGGAATTACCGCTATAACATTGTACATAATATGATGTTCGATATCAATTGGCTCCCCTGTCTCGAAGCAAGAGGGCCTGTGAAGTGGGAAACCCACTTTTAGGAAGTCTTCGAGCTTGTGCCCATCCAAAGAGTATCTATACCCTCCATCGCCATTGAAACCAATAAGAACAACATTAACCTCAAGAGGCACTTGAAATGGAACCTGAAGAACATTCCTGGTGAGTTAAATAAACATGGAAAACCTATAAAAAGAAAAGCAATAACATACATGTTTCAGATAAAAAAGGAAGGACAACACTTAACGATTGTTGTTTAGATTACACTAAGTTTAATGTCCTTTGTTATGGTGTAACGATCAGCTTAACTGTAACAACTTCTTGATTACACCATAACACTTCGGGTGAGCAACGTAATCCGCCATCCTCAATTCCAGATTTCCAGCCAGGATTTGTACAGTCATTTCATGTAATTATACTTGTACACGTGACAAAAATCTGAATATATTGGCACGACACACTTCATAACAAAGCTGTCAATCTCACCGAGGAGAGATGAAATCCAAAGGGCAGATCCCACATAGGGAGCAGAGTCATGAGGAACTATGCTCCGACTCAGCTCGAATCTAGTCGAACTGGGCTCCTATTCGCGGATCGCACCGGTACACGTGAGCCATGGATGCGCCGGCGGAGAGGTTTAGTGTGGAAGGCGAGGAAGCGGAGAAGAGATGGGAGTACCTCTGCTCGGGTGTGGAGCATGCGGCGGACGTCGGCGCGGACGCTGCCCTCGACGTCATGGAAAGCGCCGTGGTGCCAGTGCGGGTGCCCTGGGTCCCGGCGGAAAGCCTCCCGCCGGGCGGCCGACGACACGACCGAGACGGCCGTGAGGACGAGGAAGAGGAGGAAGATGGGAGGCCCCATCGAAGGCTGCCCGGAGAAACCCTAGGCTAGGAATTCTGGAAGCTTCGCCGCCGCAGTATACTGGAGGCAGCAGTGCAGGGCGCGCGGAAGGCGGAGGGGAGCGGGGCAGCGGGCGCGCGGCGGCACCACGGTCCACGGCGACCACGTTGTCTCGCCCTGACGCCCACTTCGGCGTGGCCGTTGCTTTGAGATTGGTGATGTTTGACTTACGTTGACTGTGGAGTTGAGCAACTCCAATGGACTTTCTATATTTTTCCTAATTAATATATATGAATAGATATTTCAGTGAAAAACTCTAATAGTCTCTTTATTTAATCTCTAGATATAGACAATTTTATTCTGAATTTCTCGCTACCCAAAGATAGAGAGCGGAGATGGCTCTTTAGACTGTGCACATGATATAGAAAAACTATTGGTACAAAGATATAGAAAACGATTTTTACTCAAATTTATTCTTTAAATGATGATTTTTAGAGAGTATATTTTAGAAAAAAATCTTGGAGAGGCTCTAAGCAAGTCAGTTTTGACCTTTTCAAAATTTTCCTTTGATTTGATCTTTGAGATACTCAATTGGACAGCTTAGGGTTGTTTGGCAAGACTTTGGGCTTTAGTTTACATGGGAGAAACCACAAAAACCAACCAAATAAATCGGAAACTAGTTGTTTTGATATAAAAAACAATTTCTCGCTTCAAGAATCTTAATTAAATAGAAATAGAGAAGTTGTTTACAAAACGAAATTCAACACCCTATACCAGATAGATGTTCTTTAGAGGACGAGCCATAGCTCAGTTGGCTTGCTCGCTGTGGTTTGAGCGGCCGGTCCTGGGTTCGATTCCTGGAATCAACCCAGAGCCTCACCTCGGAGATTTATTCTCTCCGTTAATAATTTCAATTGCCTCTCGCGTAGATGTACCACAATGATCAAGTGACGTGCCCGCCACGCTCGGAGTCTGATGATCTTCGAGCATCTCTCAGCTGCGATCGTTGTCTAAGTATAGTTGTAGGTTTGTTTGCATACCGTGTGTGTGTGAGGTGTGCGTGTGTGTGGTGTGTGTGTCTGTATCCAAACAGATAGTACAGTTGTACTTAGAGATGAGAGGCCAAAAAAAAAGATAGATGTTCTTTAGGAGAGAGAAGATTTTCAAAAAAATTGGATCACTAATTACCTGCCTTTCAACATGTCTATTACTAGTGTTGATTCATTGTCACAACTATCTCGACTAACCTAAGATCCTAGACAAACGGTTGAGTGTAGGATGTGCAAATTGTTGTCCTTATGGTTTCCACATATCCTCTTTAATTTAATTATTAGTAATAGTTTTCTAAAATACGGTCACTCAATTGATCATTTTTAGTTAATTATTAGCACTAGCTTTCTAATATGTGACCATATTTTAAAACATTAGTACTAATAATTAAATTATAGATGGTCGTTGGAGACTCTTAGAGACACCAATTCACATAGCTAGTTGATCGGTTCGACATCTTTTTGCGAGTCTATTGTACATATGTAGTGTAATATTGTTGTTGTACTATTGAATTTTCGGTTAAAGAAATAGGGTACACATTCATTTTCATGGGTGACAATACCTAAAATATAAGACTCATTCGATCTTTGGGTAGCGCTACAGGTAAATGGTTCAATACCCATTCGACATCTTCTCCAACAACATGATCAAAAAGAGAATCCTTTTTACAAATAGGTTTCGAAAATAAAGGATGCTCATATTTGGATTGTGCCTCTCAGGCAACCCAAAATAAGTCTCTTATATAGGTAGTTTGTTGGAGGCTAACTTTGGATCTCTTGCTACTTATTTTGTGTTTATGTGCTCATATAGATTACTTGTTGGAGACACTCTAATAAGGCATTGGAACATGTTGATTTGCATCAGTTGCTGTTAAGGACATCGCCCTATTGCAGATGTAGTGATAGGAGCTTTGCTAGTGCATCTCTACAGATACGGTCAACGTTGGGCTTCAGGCATGAGCCTTTTGAATCTTATATATTCCAATCTAATGTTCAGTTGGAAAAATGACCCACTGTCGTGACAGAGATTCGTTCGCATGAACTTATTAGCCGGTTTATCAGCTAAAATCTACAGTATTTTTCTCTCACAACAAAATAGCTTCAACCGGCTTATATATAATAGCCGATCAAGGGTCAAACCATTTAGGGGTTGTCTGCTTCGCTAAAACTTCGCCAATAATATACATTAGCAGCCGTACTTACTCTGTCGCATGTCACTTTCTTAGCTTTCGTCTTGCCAAGATTTCCCAAATATTTATCCTAACGAAGATTTCCAAAATTTACAAAAATATGTTCTACGTAAAATGTAAGAGTACACCTCAACAATAGCAGCCAACTAAGTTATATATGATCCAATGAGTATGGAATTTTTGCTACAGATCAAGCATACAATAATTAGTCACCATAAAAATTTCACCACAATTGGAAACATAAAAACTGCAGCTATGAATTAATTATTGAAAAGTATAGATTTAAAGCTACAGCAAAAAAAATTATACTAAAGCATACCATATCTACTCACGTGGAGTCCAACAAAATTGGATTTTCCGTTTTATGAATTTTATGTGATTCACTATGACTTTTTAAAGATTCAGCCGACATAAATAAAAAAGAAAAAGATAAAACCGTCTTTGAAAACTACTTATAATCGGTAAGGGAGGTAAAATAAACGATTTTAAAAGTTTAGGAGGTGTTTTACCCGATTTTACAGTTCATAGAGGAAAAACAGACTTTCACAAAAGTTGATGAGGTAATATGAACTTTAATGCTACATGTGATTTTTTTTTGCTCAATTTGAGGTAACGCTGGTCTATTGGGTCAAAGCCTCGTTCGCTTCACTGAAAAAAACCAAGCCAAAATAACTAATTTATTATGAGAGGAAAATACTGTTTTAGTTAAAAAAACAAACTGAAAAAAAAATTATAAGAGAAGCGAAACCAGGGCAATTCTTACCCAACCGATCCAGACAGAGGAGGCTCCTCGACACCTGACTCCGACTCCGCGAGTCAGCGTGCACCAGCGCCGCAATCGGACCCGGCGATTCCCACCCCCGTCCGGCCGTTCCTCTCCCTATCCGGCCAGTGCTGCTTAACCGTAGCTGTCGCGCCGCTGCTGCCAGTCGTCCGCTGCGGCACCGGTGTGCCGCCCATCGCGTCACTGCCGGCCGACAACTTGGCAAGGGCTCGCGGGCTTGCGGCCGCCCGTCGCCAGCAGGTCCTCTGCGATAGCCTCCAGGGGCGATCCGCGGCTTGGCGGCCGCCTGGCCGGCGAGCAGCGAGCCGACGACTGCGTGCCTCTGTGTTGATTGGTCCCTTCCCTTCTGCAAGACTGCAGAGTAATAGGGATACACCGCACAGGCTATAATACAACAGGTTGTTCCCTAATTTGATTAATTCAAGCCTCCGACCAAATACCCCTCCGTCCATAAAAAAAATGCAACTACGTGTTACATACCAGTAAAAAGTAGTTTACATTTAACCAAATTTCTAGTAAATACTATTCACATTTACGGCTTCAAAATAATTATTATAAAAATAAATTTCGTAGTTAATTTAATAATATTTATTTGATATCATAAATATTAATATTTTTTTATCTATAATTAATCGAACTTAAGATATAAAATCATAATATTGTGCTAGAATTGTATTCTTTTGTTGGGAGTATGAGATAACCCAATCTTTGGTTTCTAATTTTCCGTGGTTCCATTGTTCAATATTTTGTGTTTTTGTAGGATGTAGCAACTAGCAGTCACGTTGTTGTGAGGACAAAGACATCCTACGCCTACAACCAAGCCAACCTTTTGTTTCCTACGCCCTCAGGAATCCCTTGCTGTGCAGTCGTGTACTCGTGAGTCGTGTCCACCTTCTAAACCCAAAGAACCCCTTCTGCAGGCTGCAGCATTCCACCACCGACGCCGAAGGCCGTACGCCCCCAAACGAATCGACCGCATCGATGCTGTCGATCACCGGAGGTGGGCGAGGGGGCCTCTTCTCGGTGCACCGGGGCGCGCTCTGGTGGCTTCGCCGTTGCCACAGCCCGCTCTTCTCGTCACTAGCCGGCGGCGGTGGCCGGGGCGACGCGCCGCATCTGCCCGTACTCATCGTCGGAGCTGGTCCAGTTGGGCTCGTCCTCTCCTTCCTCCTCACCAAATTTGGTAAGAACCTCGTGCCACTTGCTCATCGATGTTCCAATTAGCGCTTCTGAGGTGCCACTTGCTCATCAATGTTCCAATTATTAGCGCTTCTGAGATAGACGGTAGCTTTGAGCTGAGCGAAAGTTCATCGGACAAATGTGATAAAAACAAGTCTCCTCTCAAGTGTCGTGTAACAAATGTGATAAAAACAAGTCTCCTCTCAAGTGTCGTGTGCTAATTGGGATCGACGAGCTCAGTGACTTCGACTTTGGTAGAAGTTGCGGAAATTCTTGTCAATAAAAAGCAACCATTGATGCAGTTACTCGTCTTATTCAAATCTTGTAGGGATCAAATGCACGGTGATAGAGAAGAATGTGGAATTCACTAGGCACCCTCGAGCGCACTTCATCAACAACCGCACAATGGAGGTGTGTATGTTTACTAATGCACTCTAACTTCGTGATTTTGACTAATTTGTGTTGTTTGGGTGGTGCTTTCACGGATGTCTGGCATTTCAGATCTTCCGCAAGTTGGATGGTTTGGCCGGGGACATTGAGAGGTCCCAGCCACCAGTAGATTTGTGGAGGAAGTTCGTCTACTGTACTTCACTCTCTGGTTCCGTCCTTGGATCGGTTGATCACATGAAACAGGAAGGCCAGTTCAGTTCTTCTCATGTCGAGTGCTTGATGTCTTGCACCTCACCGTGTATGTCTTCTGACAAGCATTTTTGGCAGATTTTGACAAGGTCATTAGTCCTATATCCGTTGCGCATTTCTCGCAGTACAAGTTAGTCGATTTGCTACTCAAGAAGCTTGAAGGAATTGGTTTCCGGACAT